CATGACCTGGTTTACTGTTACTACTTGCGACGAAAGACGCAATAAGCCTAACACAATAGTGTGAGTAGTATAATTACTAACTCACTAGTTATATGTGTTTATTCGTTATTAGTGTGACGCATAAGGAGCTCGGCCTCCTCACGTGATTTGCGATTAGTCTCTTCTTCTCTCTGTCCTAGTTATGATTGCCCTAGTTGCACTTGTAAGGGTTCGTTTTCTCCAGGCATTCCTATGGTGTTATCATCCCTATGATTGCTCTGAACTGGACTCAAATGTCTGAGCGGGCTCTCCAGTTTGCTTCTGATAGGGTAACGTTCGTTAGTGATCTTTCTAGTGCATTTCCCTTCGTCCGATCTTTTCTCGGAATTCTCCTCGTGAACTCTCTTTTGGTTCTTCCTCGACTCCTCTGTTGGTCGTGGTAGTGGGGTTGCGATGTCTAGATATGTTGTTTGTACGAGAATTAGGGGTGTACAAAGGATCCATGAGATTAATAAAGTATTTTATTGAAATTTTTAAGATGGTCCTTACCGAGTCCTCCTATAATCACGTAGTGTATATAGATTATATATAACCAGATTAGATAGACCTTCGAATAAGTGACCCTACTCTAAGACCACAACCAAACAAGGAACAGGAAATAGAGCGAAAATCACAAATTCTAAGTCTATAAAATTTCAATTATATATAACCTTAACGCATACCCTCTGTAATTATAGATCTACCAGGAAAGGTCTTTAGTTTTCACATAAGTTAGTTACAGTGCCTAAAATACTCCTATAGTATTTTAATTGTATGTTTGGTTCTAGTGCTCCTTTGTATAGAGAGTTGGTAAGATTTAGACTTGTTGCAACACCACAATCAATCCCAAACACATGTCGGTCGTATCTCAAATAAATTTAGTTGATCGGGCTATATTTATCCCAGATATGATTACATAATTGTTTAGGTCTGACTGTAGTTTCCAACCTCCAAATACCTTTGTATTGTTCTTTTTGTGATATTGTTCTAGCATGTATGTACGTGTGTTCGTATACTTCTCATAAAAATACTTATATTTTAAAAAAATATACTTTTAGTCAGAGCACTTTGGCCCCTTTGTATTTATAGTTGTATATCTTCTTATGGGTTGATATACTGAGTTCACTATAAATAATGCTCTGATACCAATCTCTCACACCCCCAAACCGAGACGGTGGAAACGTTCGGGGGGTGGAGGACGTCATGTACAATATCACCACAATTGAATAGTAGAAATCAAAGAAATAACAACCATTGTATTGATAATATATTATTTACATTGTATTTAAAACATAGCTTGAATGACTTCCAAATGTATATAGGAAAAACTAAGAGTAGAAGCTATTATGCTCCGTCTTCTTGAAAACCTGTGCGTGTACCTGCCTACTGGTTTCCTGAGAATACAAGTAATTTTTGAAAGAGTGTCAACATTTACGTTGGTGAGTTCATAAGTATTTTGTTTTAGAAAATAAGTTCTTTGTTCCTTGAAAATGTTCGTAAGTTCCTTTAGAAAATCCTATATTTTCTTAGTAAAATGGAATGTAGTCTTAGTCCCCTTCAAACGAAAATGTATAAATGTCATCGTAAGTTTAGGTGGTAATATTACGTAGGTTTTAAATCTGTATAAAAACCATTTGGATGCATGATTTCCGAAATGAAAGTTGTTTTGTACTTGAAAATGGTGCAGGGTAGTTTATAACGATACAACCCTTATGTATGCGTGCTCTCGGTAAAAGTTAACTCCAGGTATGTAAGCTTTTGTGTCTTAAATTTGAGTACCCTAGAAAGACCTATTTTTCCATACTTATGAGAGTAAGTGCCTGTTAACTGAATATAAACCTTATGAATGTAAGAATCCCCGCAAAACTATATATGTCGTTGTTCCCCTATGTGATTTATTATAACCTTGCACTTGACATAGTAATGCCTCTTACGACGTTCTTCAGGCGTCAGAATGTTTTGACACCCCAGACCTGCCGGTCTAGCTATTGTAAGCAACTTAGGGTGCGGGATTGTCAGTCCCAACATAGATCTACATACAAGTATCATGCTCTCCCTACAAGAGATTAAGGTTATAGCACAGGACTTTAACCAGTACCTAAGGGTACAATGAAGTAGTGTCTCACAACCAGATTCAACGAGTTTACGTGTAGTGTGAATGAAGCCTTCCTGGTATGTTCGTAGTGTTAATGTACCATAAATTATGCCTTTATACTTTATCATAGTATCCTTCCTTAGTATGTTTGTATGTTGATGTACCATAAACTATACCTAGTATAGTTTATCATATGTATACCTTCCTTAGTATGTTTGTATGTTAATGTACCATAAACTATACTTATTATAGTTTATCATATGTATTTGTATTTGATTGAAATCCTTATGATGAATAACTACTTTTATTTCATGAAGGGAAGCTAACATGAAACACATCTACATGTAGCTAAACATTGTTATACACTTTGCTCAACATGTTACAAAGTGTTATTGAGATAAACACTATTTACTAGTTTCCCTTTTCTGTAACTGTTATTAGAAAAATCACAAAAAAATCAATTAAGTTGAAAACTAAATCCGTAAACTCTGAGAGTTTAGAAATTGTGTCTAGTTTGTTCATAGTTTTTGTCATGAATTTTGGAGGTCTCTAACCAGTGTGAATATGTGCATCTTCATAGACTGGTCCGAAATCATCTCAGAAATGATAGGCTGTCTTGTAAAAACCGCCATAAATTGTAGAAAAATCGTATGAACGTTTGCAAGTAATCATTAGAAAGGTATAAACCTGAACTATTTCTTTTTAAACAGTTTTGAAAAATATTAATTTTAAGTTGGTCAAAACAGTTCGAGAATGAACCATAACTTTTCTGTTGAAAGATGTTGGTTGTATTAGAGTGTGTTTTGGAGTTGTAACTTGTATTCTCCCCTTAAAGCTTGAAGAAAACCATGAAAAGATAGGGGTATGAACTCACATTGAGTGATTTCCCTGAGATGGATGTTGAAGAAGAGAGTTTTCCAAGTCAAGAACACTTGGAGAGTGCTTGAGGATTTGAAGATACTAAGAACAAATATGACGATATTTGTATGAGGAATCCATGATTTGAGTGAAGGAGTGTAGAATATTCAAGAGTGGAAATGAAGAACTTACCAAAAATGGGGAAGAGCTCGTGACTTCCTGGAGTTCTTATTTCCAGAGAGAGCAAAAAAGAAGAAAGAGAGAGAGAGAGAGAGAGAGAGAGAGAGAGAGAGAAGGGATATTTGATTGAAGAGTGTGGTAATGAATCTTTGGGAAGTGTGTGAGATATAAATCTTTAGGTGGATTTGGTGTAAGAGAATCTGATGGAGTGTTGGGAAAGTGTAGGAGGGACAATGATTTGACTAGGTAAAGTGTGAATAGTGACATAAAGTGGGAATGGTGTCATAGTTTCTTGGAAAAGTCAACCAACCCCTTAGATAATATCTTGTACAGAAGATATTATCTATAATTAGGATATCCCAAAATATGATTAGAATATGAATCTATGGGGTCTAATATGTTAAAATATGAGTTTGGGTGAAAATACCCCGTCAAAATCATCAAAACAAGCTTAGAAGCTAAAGTGGTCGAAAACCGGGAAAAAGAGGCGAACCTGCAAAGTTCCGAAGGTCAGAAGCGAAGGTCTCGGTCCATGAGGCTGAGAACCGAAGATAGGTTGAGCTGAAGGTAGGCTGGACCGAAAGAAGGGTATCTCAGACCGAAGGGTATTTCGGTTTTAAGGAGGGTTCGGTCTAAGTGGTTTCGGTCCTAAGTGGTTTCGGCCCAACTTTGCTGTTTTTCATAACATCTTCCCGTTACGAGTGGTTTTTGATTAAGTTAAGGGTCGGGATGCCCCGGGTGTTCATAAAAAGTTGAAAGAGATTTGGGGGAGAGAGAGAGAGAGATAGAGCGACAGAGATTGAGAGAGACTTGGTTTGTGACCTTTGCTAGTGTTTAGCCTCGTAATACAATGTTTGTAAACTCCATTATGCCTCGTTATGAGTGTTATACGCCCCCTAAGGGGATGTAATAGTGCTTTATCAAGTCGCTACACCACTTTCCCTGCCTAGGATTTAGATTTCCTGAACATATGAAACCTCTAAATGATACTTTGTATTAAGATAGAGAATTTTTTTTTTCACTAGAATTTTTAGAGTAAGCCCTGACCTACAAGAACTAGTTGAGTGGACCGGTTTGACCCGTTGACTTTGTTTGACTTTGACTTAACCAGAAATTGACGGTTGTCACACTACGGGGGTGGGTCGTTTACGAGAATGACTTTTTCTATTAGCAGCGACCTTGACGAATGTCCTTTTATCACGATGGCTTAAAGGTAGAAGGGGTGGTTGTGGAGCATAACATGTGGTGGTTTTTGTTGTGCCAACTAGCTTCAGTCGTCGGTATCGCCCTCCGCTTGTATTCTCCAAGTTCATTGCAAGCACAAGGTCCCTCATCTTAATGCCTTGAAGATTATGTTCTAGCGCCTTGTCATCTTACACATCCGAGAACTTTACACACACAAAAGTTTTTCCGATGAGATTTTTATAGCCAACTAAATATTTGAACGAAAAAAAAAACAAAAAGTGCATTAGCAAAATAAAAGAATAAACTTTTACAAAAAAAAAAAACCAATTATTTGAACAAAGTCATTTGATCATATGGTTTCTTGTTTTTCTACTACACAAAAATAGAGGTGTCTTATTTTCTTTTCATGACAATATGTATGACACCTCATATATTCTTGATTAATCAAGCCCATATTACTTATTAATATGCTAAAACATTTACGTTAGTCGATAAGTGATACTAATTTATAAAAATCTGATTAATCAACAAAGCCAGAGTTAAATTGTTTTATTTTTCTTTTCATCCTGATCTCTTATTAAGAATTCATGTATGTATGTTAATCAATTTCTTCTACTCAATATATGAAACGGAAAACAACTGAACAAAATACAATGACCATTTATCTATTTTATCTAGCAATTATCAATTGTTACAATTGCTACTCTTTTTAAATTGTCAAAACACACAATCAAGTTTTGAGTGTGCACGAAAAAAGTCAACTTTAACTTGTACAACGGTCAATGTTTACCTTAAAAACATCAAATTTCTAACTCTCAAAAGGCTATTTTGGTCAAATCATCCACTTTTACATTCGTCTTCACACCCAACCTCGAAAGACTATCAATCATCACAGGGATATCAGCTTTGCAAACCAGCAGCCAAGGCCTGGAAACGTAAAAAAACAAAAACAGTAAATTACCATATTGCCCTTATCATCTCAATTTCAATAACACATTAAATTACCATTTTGTCCTCATCTTTCCAACTCTTTATGACCTCCAAAGGCCACTCGCTAACCATCTTCTCAAGTTCCGCCATTATATCTGGCCTTTTTGCCTCCGGTAATGTCTGTCATTAAGTAACAAAATGTAAAATGACAATATTGCCCTTATGGAATTTGTAAATTAAAACGAAAATTTAATAATACCTGGGTGACGACTTGAATTATCACAGCTGCTTCTTCTGGTTTATGTTCAAGTAAAAACCCCTTTGCACATGAAAATCCACTTCCAATTGTATGTGTTTTCATCAATCCAGATCTCAGTTTCTCAATTTTCCACAAATTATCAATATCTCCTGTAAAAATAGATTTTTACTTACATACCCTTGTCTTATTTTCCATGACTTGACTAATTTACCCCTATATCAGTGGTGTTAAAATTAAGCATCATTAAGGGCAAAAGTGTAATGTAATCTAAGTATCATATAAAGCTCCCATGCCTAATGTTCCATGACTTGACTAATGTACCCCTATACAAGTGGTATTACAGTTAAGGATCATTAAGGGTAAAAGCGTAAACTGACACCTAGTTTGGCAGCATACGTCATCCAAGTATCAAATGAAGTTCGCCTCAATTTCACTCCAGCCTTCACAAATCTTTTTGCATACTTACACATCAACTCCCAGCTATCTGTTTCATAGCAAATGCTGCAAGAAAGACATGTAATATATTAATAAAAGTTGAACAAATAAATCAGTTTTTATTCGTTTTAAAACATTTTTCTCAATTTTTTGTGTTGTGTGGGTCCCACCTAAAGACGATATCTGCTGTTCCAGGTTGCAGTGGGACATCATTTGCTTTCAAAAGTTTCATTACATCCACCATAAGATCAACATCTTTGTGTTCTTTAGCATACAACTGCAACAACATGACAACAAATCTTGATTTTTAACAAGTAAAATCAAGAACGAAAAAAAAAAAAAAAAAAGATTTTTAAAGAAATAAAATTACCAGTAAACTGTGAGCAGATGCAACACTAGGAGTTAATCCGTACACATTGTGTTTCCACAATGTCTTCTTTCCTGTTATAGATATTAAAAACAGATTATTTTTTTAATTTGACAATTTAATATTTTTTAATTTCATGGGGTCATGTTTATATCATACCAAGATCAATAGCCTCTACTCTTACACATGCCTTTGATACTTCCCGACAAAGATTATCATTAAAATTCTCAAAAATTCGAAGATTTGATAGTCTCTGTGATTAACACATATTAGTTAATAGCAAATTACTTCAAATTTAAAATAAAATCAAATGATTAAAGCATGAAAAAAAAAACTAACGAATTTTCGAAGGTTCTCCAATATGTTGAATAAAAGTTTGATGTCTTCACGATTGGCACTTTTTTCTATGAGGCTCCATAACAAATTGTTGGGAGGTGCAGTTCTTTGCTCTTTTACAGATTTGAGCAATTTATCATACAATTCTTTAGCAGCATCTGGAGTGAAAAGAATTAAACAGTTTTTTTACAAAAATACCCCTTTTCATCGAATGAACAGTTTGTGAAATTAAATGCAATCAAGATAACTTACCTGTGGGACTAACTTCAATTGTGCTTGCATCTGAAGAGTATAATGCCCTTGACAACATCATTGAGCATGTTGGATTGTTGAATGTTGTGTTCTTGATAGGGTAATTTAAGCCTCCATTGCCTCCAAATTTCAGTGATGTGTGATAAGAACATGAATATATGTTTCTAATTGGCCTACATTGTGAGTGATGCCTCGACACCTATAAAATATACAGTTTTTATCAGATAAACAGCATGAGTATCGGATTTTGTTATCTGTCTTCAACACTCACATTAGTCTAATTCTAATATTTGTTCTAATGTTTAGCATCCATTTCCTTCGGTTAGGTTAGGGCTGATCATGATGATGAAATAGTCATAAAAAAACTTTAAAGCAAGAAATGAAACTTCCTCCATTTACGTAATTTGCAATAAATCAATAACCCTAATGAAAATGGAATTATATTTCCCCCAGATGAATTTTCGTGAAATATGTAAGATAAACCCTTTCCTAAACCCTTGTTCATATTCGTCTTTGGAGGTGATTTCGTAAACCTAGTCCATTGATTCGAGTTTAAACCAATTGAAAAACAATCATTTTAAAATCAAACGGGGAGCTAAATCAGGGTTCTCGTAACAATAAGAAATAGCTGACATGGATCTGATAATAAAAGGCACAAATTTATACGAAAAATTAAACAAACGAAGTTTTCGATATCAATGGAGATTAAACAAACCTCTATGAGAAAGCGCCGGAAACCCATTCTGTTTTATGCAAACACAACAGAAATCTTTGTAAACGTTTTGGATTCCGTTTATCGACGGCGACGAGTCGACGACTGAACAGTCACTGATGTATCTCTACTGTGACAGCCTTGGGCCTAAAAGCGTAACTACGGCCCAAATATATCTTTATAAATCTATAGGGCTATAAATTTGACCCAATAATAGGTGGTAATGTTGGTATTTATATTAATTTTTAGAGAAATCTTCACAAAAAATTTATTATTTTGAAAAAGTTAATCACATTTGTTCATGAAAGAATTTCTTTAGTAAGTTGCATTGTTCAAGTTCTTATTTCTCTATTCCTTCACATAAATCCATTTTGATGCCATTGTTTATACACAACTATTACATTGTTCCTGACGTGGGCCCTAATGTGGTGTTCTCAAATGCTTCTCACAAATCCGTGAGTGAATTCAAGGAAGCTAAAGTTGTATGTGTTCTTCAGCTATTTGATCCATTGCCACTTATGTACATTTTATTTGAATCTGATTCATCTTTTATGCAAATTGGAGTTGATGATGTCCCTGTTCTTGAATTTTAGTTCTATTTTAGATGTTGTGCACCCGCCCAGGTAAAACAAATAGCTTAAATTTCTGAAATATTATTTTATTTTCTCTTTGGTAATTATTTAAAGTTTGTGCTTTTCGAGAGTTGCCATCTTTTATTTATCTTCATATGGTTTCAAAATCAGATTGTGGGTTAATAGCTTCTTGAATCATGATTTGTGTTAATTCTGTGAATGAGTTTTTGTTTTAAAAGGAAGAAAGCTTATTATCTGAACCATGAGCTCTAATCTATGTTATCACAAAAAAGATTGGGATATATGTTCTTGAAGTTCATTCAATTTTCAAAGTAAGTTTCAATAGATGAATCTTGATTAGTTCAATTGAAAATACATCTTACTGCCTTATGATTAGCTGTAAGTCCCCAAATATGGAACCAACTAGTGATCAAACACAAGAACAAGCAATAATCAATAAGAACAAGAAGGAGTAGAAGCAAGAATGATCCAAATTGCACACATTTCTATTGAACCGCGAACGTCTGGTACAATGAACACACACACATAACCGCCGTACATTCTGACAAGACTGGCACATATATACAGGGAACATGAACCGTAAACAGTTCACGGTCGCAAACAGCCTTGCAGCCGCAAACACCAGTTGAACTGAAAACACCTTGTTTTCGGTTCACCCAACCGCAAACCCTATAAACACCTAAACAAAGACTAACAAGACTCATGCAAATGAATGCCTAGCCCAAACCAACAAACTATGACCTAACAGTCTCCCCCTTGGTTCGAGGCTAGCATCAGCTCAATCATTCTTAATGATAAGCACGTATGACCTTCCCATCGCCCCTAGCCACATCTTCTTTTCAATAATCTCAGCGGTCATGCTTGTAAATTCTTTAGCAGCAACCTCTAGAATCTCATGCTTGCATATGATTTGATGGTGAGCCAAAGTGTGAATATCCCGTTCACCAAACTGTAGCAAATCCTTCTTATCAACGACAAAAAAAACACCATCCGAGAATTTGATGACAGCAGAGGTTGTGGCTTCATCATAAACCCAATATTCCATATTGTTCAGCGATCCATCACAAAAATGCTTAACAACAGGAATTTATGTCATCTGCTTTGTAGGAGGCCACATTACATTGTTGAAGCTCTTGTTGGTCTTAGGGTCAAAAACACCTTTGGCTCTTTTCATGAAGGATTCGACAGTTTTCATCCCATCAAATTTCCTTTTAACTTGATTCTCCAAGAAGAGTTTGAAATCCGTTCCTTGTGGATCATTAGTTGGGTTTGAAAATGGAGCATCAGCAAGTTTAGTGAGGTCCACCTTCATCCAAAAAGAAAAGCCATTCTTGTGCCTGTAATACTCCACGTTTCCGCTCTTGCACTTTACCAACCATCAATTTAATTTGTCATGAAAACCATGTTGGATTAGTGTCTAAGTCCATAACTATAATTGGTATGTACTTGAACCGATTTGGCATGGTCCATTTGGGTTGCATGGCATCGGAACAATTGGATAGACAAAATGAGAAAAATGATAATTATGATTTATATTAATATATTATAAGTTCTAATATATTAATATGGAATCATATTATTTAATTAGTATTGATCAATAATTAATTTAGAATTAATTTAGTGATAAAAAAGAAACTAATTAAATATGGACTCTTATATATATAGGATGAGCCAAGTTCATTTAGGTTGGGCTAAGCTTTCATAGATAGTCCATGGAGTGTTTAACCCATGAATCCTATGGAAATGAAAGGTCATGGGTATTAGGGTTTACATGAATGTAACCCTAATCCTCCACACTATATAAAGAGGTCTCTAGTTCATGAAATGGGCACTAGTGTATAGTACACAAGAGGGAAAATCCGATTTCATAAGAGTGAACTTAAGTATTCTTCTTCTCAAGTTATTCCAAGGATTTTTGGTGTTGTGTGAACCATTTGAGGTGCAACACTTGGGGCACTAAGCTCTTAAAGGTTCAAGACTTCAAGCTCTATCAAATGGTATGTCATTATACTAGATTCGTGTATTGTATATACTTCATATTATGCTAGTTAGGATGAAACCTTGGAATATTGAATGTTTGCATGTATAATAGAGAAAACATAGATCTAAGGTTTATATGGTTGCATGTACACCATAGGAGTGTTAGAATGCTCAAAACCCACATTAGAATCCCTGGGCGGTCACCATACTTATCTCTGAACCGCTTTTTTCCGAGCTCAGTCACAGTCAGTTGGGGCTGGTCTCCACGAACATTTTGATCTGATTTTTCATGAATAGCCACTTCCCCTTCTTTTGTGAAGATACCTATTTTTGAGCTTGTTTGAGAATAATTCTTGGATTGGCTTGAGCCGGTTCATTCTCAAATCGATCAACAATTCTTGTGGTTTTGACAAATTGATCAACAGGATGATCTTGAGCAGCATGGGAAGGAGCACAATGAGAAGGTTCTGTTGCATTTGGTTCAGTGACCGGTGTCTTGAATTTGTCGCCAAATTCACTGATTAGCTTGTTTTTCAGGTCGAAGTACCCAGCAGTCAAGGCACCAAGGTTTAGCTGCAAGTCGGAGATCTGTTTTGATTTTTGAATATTTTCCTCTTCAAGCTCGGAAACTCTAACGTCAAGTTTTCCTATCAAAACATCCTTTTCAATGAGCTTTTGATTTAGAATTCCGATCTCATCCTTGAGCTCAAAAATTGATGGGTCCACTCCCCATGAACTTCCTTCACCTATATATATCCCTTTGCCTCGGGGTGAAGGGCCAGAATCTTGTTAAGCCAAGAACCTGGCAAGCCTCTCGGAGGCAGCATCGTGCGCAGGTTGTGGTGGAGAGGAACCCCAAGGAATTGAAGAACTCCCGGCTTCATACGAAGATCGAACATCACTTGGTCCTTCTTTCAGAACGTGGGCTTGTTGGGTCGGTGTAGCAGTTGCAAAAGATTGTTCGGTCGGCAAAGCTTGTTCCCTAATCAGCACTCCCGACCTTGGATTGGCTCTTATCCTTTTGAGTGGAGGTTGGGAGGCTTGTGTCATGATAAGATCACCTTCAGATGACGAAGTGGCTGGAGTAACAACTGTAAAGGGAGGAATCCTTATAGTTGAATCCATATTAGGTGAAGTGTCGGCCATCTGATCCGTAGTTGGAGGCGTCACCTTAAGAACATTACTAACTCCCTCAGTCTCCGTTGTAGGTTGTGCAACATCATGTTCATCATCAAAGAACGCATTGAGTTCCTCATTACTTGGCCTGAAATCATTATCCTGCTCGAAGTCGAAGAGTAATTCATCATCATCAAATCCGGATAGATCACCACCTTGATCCATATTATCATCCTCATCATCATCAAAGTCAAATACATCATCCCCCAGATTCATCACATCTTCACCTTCATCATCATCATTTGCCTCCACATTAGTCATCGGTACATGTTCCTCGACAACAATTGCAACAGGAGGAACATGGTCTTCTTCATGCTCAGAAGCAGTAATAACATCATCTTCATTGCCTAAGGAGCTTTCTGACTCGAATGCTTCACTGATCTCCGCAAATTGGCCAAACTTCTCTAGTGGGTACTTTCCTTAGAATACAAATTCCGTACCATTGCGGTTTTGTTTCATGAGGCCAAAAGTATTAGCACCTAAAGACTTCAAGTCCAATGACTCACCTCTTCTTTCTAACTCCGGATATTTACTATCAAATATCATCTTGAGAAATCTTGAGAACATCAAAAACTTATCCTTCCTTTTTCCTTCTAAATTGCTCATCATCTCATTCAAAATGTATCTTGAAAAGTTGAACTCAAGACCCATGGCAAGAGCAAAAATATCACCAATGTTCAATAAGGAAATCTTATTAGCACCAGATTTCCTGCCTGAGATGCAGATTATGAAGGAGTGAGCAAGAAATCGCCAGTAAGGAGGCAATAACTTCTTCACGGTAGGTGGAAACACTCCTTAATAGCCCATTCATTCGATAATGTCTTTAGTTTGTTCCATAGAAATCTCAGTTTGAAACCCGGGCTGGTTATTGATTTGCAACACTTCGCGAATAGTTTGCTCAGACACTACAATTTCCTCTTCTATGAATAACAGATTCCACCGTGTCTTCTTCATATTCTCCTTCACTCACAGAAGCCTTGCTTCCAAAATTGCTTCACTAAGTCTTGAAAAATGATGGGATTTGACTTGAAGGCGTATGCAAGACAGTATCTCTTAAGTCCATGAATCATGGACCTAAATTGTTGGTGTGCTGCTGGAGGATCAAACAAGAAAGCAACAATGTTGTGGTTATCCGAAACGAGCAAGTGAGAAAACTAAAGATTTAATCAATTAAAATTAAGTTTTCTCAATTATCAATTATGGTCAAAAACAGGTTCACAGCCGTAAACATGTTTACGGCCGTAAATGTGTTTACGGTTGTAAATGGTTTACTGCCGTAAACGTGTTTACAGCTGTAAACGGTTTGCGGCCGTAAACGCTATTCGAAGCCGAAAATCGTTTTTTCTTTAATAATCTTTCAAAACGCGATCGATTCAAGTTAATATCAACATGGTGAGAGTCGTCTTTGATGTACCTACAAGAATCAAGGGTCAATTTCCGATGAACACAACAAATAGATGGTGAATCAGAGATTAGATCGAAGAACAGTCGAGAGAAACTGAGAGGGGGTTTGCGGCCGAAAACGAAAAAGTGAGGGTGAAGGGTTTTCAGCTATGAATCGAACCTTTTATACCCAATACCATATCCGACCCATAACCCATGGGCTGCAAACTCAATAGCCTCAAATCTAAACCCAATACATCCAATTTAATCAAAAATGAAAACATTTTGAAAACTTAAAAAATTAAAGTTAAAATTAAAATTAAAATAAAATAAAATCTAAAAAATTAAATTCAAACTAACATTTTTTAAAAATTTTAATTTTTTTAGAAAATAAAATAAAAATAAAAATAAAAAATAAAAATAAAATAAAATAACACTAATTTCTTTTCACCATTGCTAATATTATTTTCATAATTTTGGGATCAAAGTTTTAAAACATCCTTAATCTGTTTTTCAGTACCTCCACCTTCATGAATAGATCTGGTCAATCGCCAATATTGTGGTCCACTCAAGTGACAAGATTTTTGACCCTATAGGTTGAGATTATTTTCCCTAAGTGATCTTTTATTTTTGATGTTTATCCATCCTTCCATTGTCGGACTGGATGATGGTGGTGGTGTTATCCAAAATATATTATATTCCAAATATTTAAAATAAATTAGAAGATATGAGCTAATTTGGTTTTTGAGTTTGTTGATTAAAAGTAATATTGAAAACAATTAAAAAAAATTTAAAAATAATAATTTGGTTTGTTGATTAAAAGTAGTATTGTGGTCCACTCAAGTGACAAGATTTTTGACCCTATAGGTTGAGATTATTTTCCCTAAGTGATCTTTTATTTTTGATGTTTATCCATCCTTCCATTGTCGGACTGGATGATGGTGGTGGTGTTATCCAAAATATATTATATTCCAAATATTTAAAATAAATTAGAAGATATGAGCTAATTTGGTTTTTGAGTTTGTTGATAAAAGGTTGAGGAAAACAGTAAAAACAAAACAATTAAAAAAAATTTAAAAATAATAATTTGGTTTGTTGATTAAAAGTAGTATTATGGTCCACTCAAGTGACAAGATTTTTGACCCTATAAGTTGAGATTATTTTCCCTAAGTGATCTTTTATTTTTGATGTTTATCCATCCTTCCATTGTCGGACTGGATGATGGTGGTGGTGTTATCCAAAATATATTATATTCCAAATATTTAAAATAAATTAGAAGATATGAGCTAATTTGGTTTTTGAGTTTGTTGATTAAAAGTAATATTGAAAACAATTAAAAAAAATTTAAAAATAATAATTCAATAAATAATATTTATTAATATATAAATACTATATACTAAAAATAATAACTATTAATAAGTTATAATCCAATAAAAAGAATTAATCTAATAAAAAAACAATTAAAATAAATTAATAATTTAATAAAATAATATTTTTTAATATATAAATATTATATATTTAAAATTATATTTATTAATATATAATAATCCTATAAAAATAATTTATTAAAATAAATTTAAAATATAAGTAACTAAATGTAATTAATAATCCAATAAAATAATATTTATTAATATATAAATATTATATATTAAAAATAATATTTATTAATATATAATAATACAATAAAAAATAGTCCAATAAAAATAAATTAGTAGAATTAGCGTATACTAATCAAATAAAATTAAAAAAAGAGATATATAAATGAATTTTATAATTTGGTCGTAGAAATGATTCACGAGAGAAATTATTATTTTTTAAAAAATTAACACCAAAGTATATCATAAGCATCATTTTTGCAATTTTATCGATTTTAAAAGGATATATACGTGTATTCACATAACTAGATGTGAGACCCATGTATTATATGAATATATTTAAAAGAAAAAACTAAATATAAAATTCTAAACATTTGAGAAGTATAAGTTTATAAGAAAAGTAAGAAAATATTGAATTATAAAAATTAAAGTGTTTTTTTTTAATTTAAATAAATAGTTTAGATAAATAAATAAATAAAATTAATGAATATTTAATTGAGTAATTTTAAAATTAAAAAAAAAAATTATTAATAAAGTTGATATGCATTTATTATTGCATTTCAACACTATTTAAAATTTAATAAAATAACAAAACCATAAAATTACATTTAGAATAAAAATCAAATTAAAATAACCATATCTGAAAATAAATAAGAATTTGATATTTGGAAAAAAAAAAAAATTGATTGGACCCCGTTGACTGTTTTTCCAACGTTTCAGGCTCTTAAGAGGCTTTGTCTTCCTTCTCTTTCTCTCTCTCTCTAATCAACCAAACATACCCAAAATACTCCGTTTTCTTCTCTTTTAATCTACCCGTCCAAGGAGTATTAAATACAAACAGGCCAATCGCCGGAAACTGGTACCACTCGGTAGAAACTGGCCCTGGAGGCTGCCCTGGTATTTTTTTTGGTCGAAGTTTGTGAGTTTTTTTTTTGGATGGAAATCTTTAACTAGTGGAAGTTTGATTGATTTTTAATCTGTCTGATGGTCGATTGGAGTGTTAAATATACTAATTCTTGAGTTGTTTTACCAGATTATTTTGGTTTTAACAACCACGATAATTTTAGTATTTCTTTAGTTTTTATAAACAGATTTACATTCTGAAAATGAAACAACCAACAGGTCAATCGTATATGATACAAGCGCAGATCTAATCATCTTCTTTCTGTTTATCTTGAAAGAACGATATATCACGAAACAATGTCTTCTTCAAGAATAAACCTAGAAGAGTATCTAATCCCACTGGAGGAGATCGTCTTGGCCACCCACAACTTCAGTTCCGAAACTGAGATAGGACGTGGCGGAGCTAGTGTCATCTTTGGAGGACAACTCTCTGAACGCTGGCAAAACCGCAAAGCTGCTTTCAAACGCTTATATCCTCATGATTTATTCGGACAGCCTAAATTTCTTAACTCGGTTGAGTTGATGTCCAGATTAAACCATGAAAACATCATCCCCTTTATTGGCTACTGTGATGAAGCCAATGAGATGATTATTGTCACCGAATATGCTAACAATCAAAGTCTTTGGGAACAACTCGATGACCCTGATAAAAAGTGTGCCCTAACATGGGCACAACGCCTCAACATCTGCCTAGGGGCAGCCACAGGACTCGACTACCTTCATTCGGGTCTTGGAGAGGGCTGCTTCGTCTTACACAGAAACATGAAGTCTCAAAAAATCTTGCTAGATTTTAACCTGGAAGCAAAAATTTCTAGTTTTAATCTATCAATATTAGTCGACCTAAATCAACCGCCAGTAGATGCTGATTCTATAATTATTGTGGGTACCGATTTCTACTCAGATCCGCTTTACAAGGAAGGCGGCAATATCGGGAAAGAATCAGATATTTACTCATTTGGGGTTATGATGTTTGAAGTGTTGACTGGAATGTTCGCTTATGAAAGAAGAAGCGTTGGTGACAATCAGAAACAAAGACTCATAAGTTTGGTTCGACGCTTCTATGATGACGGACTGGACAACTTAATTGATCCTCATATCCGAGGTCACATTAACCTCCGTTCTTTCCGTGTATTTAAGAATATTGCATATCAATGTATTAGCTGGAATTTAAATGATCGCCCTACAATGAACATGGTCGTCAAAAGGATTCAGGAGGCGCTGGATATCCAAGTAAGTCTTTATATTAAAAAAATACTAGTATATGTTTTTTGAAGGAAATTTAGTTTCATATTCGTCTATTCCAGAACCATGAAGCTGCTTCAACCATTACTGTATCAAGCCAACAACATCAAAGCCTTGAAAGCTTTGTAATTCCACTCGAGGAGATTGTCTTGGCCACCCAAAACTTTAGGGATACTGTAGGTGGTGGGACCGGTAATGTCTACAAAGGACAACTTTCGAAACGATGGGGAAACCGCACAGCTGCCATCAAACGCTTTCATCAAGATAATGACCAAAATAAGGATTACTTTCGTAATGACCTTAAGTTGGTTTCAAGTTTCCACCATGAAAATGTCATTGGTTTTATTGGTTATTGTGACGAAGCCAATGAGATGATTACAATTTATGATTACGCTATCAACGGAAGTGTTCATCACCATCTCTATAAACCGGAAATCAATAAGAGCAATTGCCTAACATGGACAGAACGTCTGCACATTTGCATAGGGGCAGCAAGAGGACTTGAGTACCTTCACTCGGGTCTTTGGCAGGACACTAGAGTCATTCACAGAAACATACAATTGACAAATATATTGTTAGATGAAAATCTCCAAGCCAAAATAAGCAATTTTACTGTATCACTATTAGTAGACCGAAATCAACCACAAGCTTATGATGACCTTCGTGCACGGAATGGATATTACCAAGATCCCATATATGATGAAAGTGGTCTCGTCAACACACAATCAGACATTTACTCATTTGGGGTGGTAATGCTAGAAATGTTGAGTGGGACGGAAGCTTATAAAAGAAGGACCATTGGTGATGGCCAACCACAGACACTCATACATTTGGTCCGACACCACTATCATGAAGGACTCGACATATTAATTGATCCTGTTATACGCGATCAAATTAATATGCATTCCTTCCGTGCGTTTATTAAGATTGTGTATCGATGCGTTAGTTTGAAGTTAGAGGATCGGCCTACAATGAAAAAGATCATCAAGCAAATTGAGGAGGCACGGGATATTCAAGTAAGTTTTTTTTTTTTTTTTTCATTTAAATATTTTCAAGGTAGTCCAGTTATATGTAAACATAGAACTAAGTACGGAGTAGTTTGTAAAGATAAGTCAATTTTTAAAACCCTTATAGGGAAAAAACGGGCTTGTTGCTGTATTTTGCAGATATGAGTTAGCCTCACAAAACTGCAAAAACAGTTCTTGCCCCCCGGCCCTCATATTATTTTATAAACATATGTCCCTTTTAGGCTTGAGCACCACCCTGTTTTATAACGTTTCATATACATCTTAGATGATTTTGAGTATTTAAAAAAAAAAATAAGAAAATTTTTTTGTAGGGAATGGTGTATGCATTGAAATGGTAGTTATGGTCTTTTTGTACTCGTTTCGCCGATGGAGGAAATGTCTCTAAGAAGTTTCGATTTTGTTTTCCTTCACAGAACTATGAAGCATCTTGTGCCTTAACCACACAAAGAGGCCAACATCAAAACCTCGAAATTTTTCGAATTCCACTGAAGGATATCAACTTAGCCATCAAAGACTTCAGTCAAGAAACTCCTATCGGAGGTGGTGGATATGGTAAAGTCTACCAAGCACAACACTCTTTACTCTGGCAAAATTGCAAAGTTGCCATTAAATGCCTCGATCCGGAAGGTCACCAAGGAAAGAAGGAGTTCCTTAACGAGGTTAATTTGATTTCCAGGTTCCACCACCGAAACATCATCCCTTTCGTCGGTTACTGTGATGAAGGTGATCAAATGATTATAGTATCGAAATACGCACACAATGGAAGCCTTGATCATCATCTTGGAGACCCAAGTAAGAGGAATCGCCTAACATGGGCACAACGACTCAAGATTTGCTTAGGTGCAGCAAAAGGACTCGAATACCTTCATTGGGGTCTAGGTAAGGACAAGAGGGTAATACACCGAGACGTCAAGAGCGGAAATATATTGTTAGATGAAAAAATGGAAGCCAAAATTTGTGATTTTGGTTTGTCAAGAGAAGGCCATAGAAACCAGCAAGATACCGGAGTCTATACCAAAGTTGCGGGTACCAATTTCTATCTAGATCCCCTTTATCGAGAAACTAATGTCCTCACTAAAGAGTCTGACGTGTATTCATTTGGAGTCGTATTGTTTGAGACGTTGAGTGGAATACTTGCTTACGACCCACAATCTCTGATACGTTTGGTACGACGCTACTATAAGGACGAACCCCAGAAATTAATTGATCCGATTATAAGAGATGAAATTGATAACCGTAGTTTTCATATATTCAAAGATCTTGCATATCGGTGCATAAGCTTGAACTCAGGGGAACGCCCTACCATGGATAGAATCATCGACTGGATCGAGGATGCAATGGATTTTCAAGTAAGTATTTTTCTTTAATTTTTCTGAAACAATTTTGTTTTCGAACGCAACAACAAAAACTAACATAGATCATCAATTAATTATGATAACTATCTAGAACTATAACGGATGACTAAATTGATTTTCAAAAGTTATGCTGCTTTTTAAGTGTTATTAAAAGTACATTGTATTAGATGATGTCAGGTGACGTTCTTAAGAGGTTTCCACTATTTGTATACTTTGCACGATTATATATATCTGTTACAAATATAGCTAATATAGTTCTAGGTTAAGTTACTTTGAAAACTAATATCTGCCTACGAATTTGAGAATTTTTTTTCCAGCCAATATTTTTCACTCCAAACACCACCTACGGACACTAAGCTCCTCATCTAGGCCAATTCCAACCAAGGAACCAATCTTTTTTTAAACTTTTAGAACTTATTTTTTATCAAAAAAAAAAAAAAAAACTAAAAATATAGAAATTCATAATTTTTTATCCTTTCATAATCAATGTCACAGCGTGAATGTGCAGATTCACAATGTGAATCTGAATTCACACAGTGAATCCAATATATATATATATATATATATATATATATATATATATATATATATATATATATATATATTAATCAATGTCACAGTGTGAATATGCAGATTCACAATGTGAATCTGAATTCAAACGGTGAATCCAAAAAATATATAATTTATTTTTGAGCATATAATGAAGTGATGAATTTAGATATTTTTTGTTTTTTTATATACACACATTTGAATGTGCACATATGCACATTACAAAACACATTGTTTTCTTGAAGTTTTCAAGCTGCTACATCAGACGAGGGGATTAAGGTGTTGTGCCTATGGTGGTGGTGGTGTTTGTAGTGAAAACATTTGGCCGAAAAAAAAAGTTCTCAAGTAAATATTGATTTTCAAAAAAAAAAAATTGTTCTATAAATCTAGTAATCACATATAGAAAATAACCCGACCTAAACTATCTATTCGGAATCAGAAGTTGTTTATCTATAAATCTAGAGATCACATATAAAAAATAACCCGACCTAAACTATCTATTAGGAATCAGAAGTTGTTTATCTATAAATCTAGTAATCACATGTAGAAAATAATCCGACCTAAACTATCTATTAGGAATAAGAAGTTGTTTATGAAACTAAAAATCATCTTTGTCGTATAAAATTGGTCATGTATTGAATGGGTCAAATAGCAATTAACTTTAAGTACCCCTTCGAATATTAAGTCATCCTAACTTATTTAATTTAAATAACTCCATCTGGCTTGCCATGTCTGCATGCGGAAATGGGAAAAAAAATGTGATATGAACTATGAAGAGGTTAAACCCAATGACAAAAAAATATATTCAATCTTAGCCCTTAGATTAAAAAAGTCTTAATAATATTATGAGAAATTTTTTAATAAAGTCCTATAAAAATTAACAGAAAAGTCCGAACTATTTACCTTTTTAATAGAAAAACCCAAGAAATCGGTTTATTTATTCATTTTAGCTCTTTTTCACATGTTCAGGTCATAGGAGCCAATCGTTAATTTTTCCGAATTAATGAAACTTTTTTTGTAGATTTCGTCAAAATTTGTATATAATATATAAACGTATTTTTTTTTACATATTTATATCCATTTTTACGTATTTATGTATTTTTTAAGTTTTTATGTGTATATGTTTAAGTATTTTAATGTATTTTAAATGTATAAACGTATTTTTTTACGTATTTATATGTATTTTTAAGTATTTCATATATTTTTTATGTATTTTTATGTGTTATTTTTTATGTATTATGTATTTATATGTATTTTTATATATTTATGTATTCTTTAAAGTTTTTTATATAGATGTTTATGTATTTTTATGTATTTTAAATATATAAACATATTTTTTTTACATATTTATATGTATTTTTAAGTATTTTTTTATGTGTTTTTCTATGTATTATGTATTTATATGTATTTTTAAGTATTTATGTAATTTTTCTAAAGTTTTTTATATAGATGTTTATGTATTTTTTTTTATGTATTTTAAAGGTATAACTATATTATTTTTTACGTATTTATGTATTTTTTACTTCAAGTCATATTCGCTATTTCATCTAATTCCCATGGCTTCTTCGAGTATGTCTAGATGGTTTCCCTACATACTAACATATTTTAAGCTTTTCTCGTTCGCTTATCTTGAAATTAAACATTGAATTAAAAAACAAAATAATAATTTATGCCTTCAGGTAGAACGCGGCCGTCTTAGACAGGCCCGGTCCTGAGGGTGTGCAAGGTGTGCACCCGCACAAGGCCTGAAAAAAATAGGGTCTATTTTTTAGCTAATTTTATATAGTTATTATATATTATATATTATGTTACGCAAAGAAATTAATAAACTACTTCTAGTTCAAGTGGCTCTATGAGGCACCTTTTGTTGTGTCTTGCCAAATGGCTAGGGGGTTCGATTCCCATCTACTCCCTTATGTTTAATTTTTTAACTGATCCATTTCCAATACATTTACGTAAAATTTAACAAAATGTCATGTAGCTCAGCCGGTCTAAAGACGTACACGTACGCTCATTTATAAAAGGACCATGGTTCAGGGTTCGAACCTCTTGCCTTATGCCTTTTGAGATGATTTTTATAACTACTCATTTTTCTTATATTAAGGGCCCATTTATTACTTTTAGCACAGGCCCCTCAAAATTAACGGACCGGCCCTGGTCTTAGAGATGTTAGAAATAGAGAAAATGTTATCGACTACCAACAAAATATGTATCCCTTACAAATTCCGAATTTATGGAAATGAATTTTAGTATGTGGTAGCTTTTGTAAGGTTCTTTACCTAATATCAAGGTTGTAAAAAACATCGGTGGATTGAGATTAAGGTACTAATCGATTAGGCGGAGATTAATCAGTGAATTAATCGAGAACCACTATTTATTAAGAAAATTATTTAAAAAATAATAAATATAAGTTTAATCCTAAGAATATAAATATACAATAATGTTTTTATTTATACAGAATGTGCAACAACGTTCTAAATTAAGGCCAAATAATACGATGAGTTCACATGAAATCGTTAAATGTTTGATGATGTTCCATTAGTTTTTAAGATTTAAAATCATATAACGACATAAGGAATAAAAATTTTCAACCACACACATCTTTATCTTCTCCACATGAGACTTTGGGTTCCCTTGAGGCCACATGAGATTGGTGAAGTTTTTGTATGTGCATAAATTATTATTTTGTTTTTTAATTTGATGTTTAATTTCAAGATAAGCGAATGGGAAAAGTTTAAAATATATGGGTAGGAGAACCTATGTAAAAATACATAAATACGTAAAAATAATGCGGTTATACATTTAAAATACATAAACATCTATATAAAAACTTCATAAATACGTAAAAATACATATAAATATGTAATACATAACAAAACACATAAAAATATGTAAAATACTTAAAAATACGTTTATACATTTAAAATACATAAAAAATACATAAACATCTATATAAAAAATTTTAAAAAATATATAAATACATAAAAAATACATATAAATACGTAATACATAAAAAAACAACAAATAAAAATACATAAAATAATATAAAATATTTTATAATACATATAAATACATAAAAAATACATTTATAGATTTAAAATACATAAAAATACGTAAACATATACATATAAAAACTTAAAAGATACACAAATACGTAAAAATAGATATAAATATGTAAAAAATATCTTTATACATTATATACAAATTTTGACGAAATCTGCAGAAAAATATCATTATTTCGGAAAAATTAACGATTTGGTCTCATAACCTGCTGAACAGGTCAAAAAGGGATAAAATGAATAAATTTGTCAGTTTCTTGGGCTTTTCTATTCAGAAAGTTAAATAATTAGGACTTTTATGTTCAATTTTTTTTATTACCATTAAATATTTTCCCAAAATAATGAGATTTTTCTGGAGATTTCCCGTTTAAACAAATGTGATAAATTATTTCAGTTGGGATGAGATACTTTTTTTGCTTTATTTCAGGAAAATGAAGTGTAGAAAGATCAAAACTAGAAGACTTGTCGTTGTTGTGGCAGGTTCGGGACGAAGGTCGTCTTATGCTACTAATATACATTTCTTTCCACCTCGTATATGATGCTTGAAATCATTTACATCAACGGAAAATTAGAGGGTGTTTGGATAGGGAAAAAAGATGGAGCTTATAGCTTATTGCTTATCTCTACCGCTATAAGCTAAGTTTAAGTGTTTGGATAGGAAACACTAAAAATCAGCTTATTGCGGTGGGGATAAGCTAAATAAGCTAATTTTAAAAAGCATCCGCCCCCTTGCTTATAGCTTATTGCTTATTTCTATTCCAAACACTTTGTAAAAAAGCTGCTTTCTCTCACCACTAATAAACAATAAGCTAATAAGCTATAAACTAATTTATCCAAACACTCTCTTACTTAGGAGGGTAGATATGTTTTAAAAATGTTCAAAAAACATCATCCAAGTTTGGTCTATTCAAAAAATATCATCCTAAGTAAGGTTTTGTACAAAAAAACACTAACGAACTACACTTTGTTCATATGTCACCTTATGGCAATCGACATTTGTGGGTAAGGGGCAAGACATTACTGGTAAAAATTAATTAAGAAAAAAAAGGAATGACTTAGAAGATAATTATTTTTCAAAATCGTTTACAAAACACAATTCAAATTTGGTTTGTTCAAAAACACCATCTAAGTAAATTCTGTCAAAAAAACACTAACGAATTATACGTTTTGTTCAAATGTTAATCACTGGTAATCGGCTCCTGTTTATTGGTGACATGTCATAATAATTTGTAACATGATATTAATTGATATATTCCTTCTTTATAAATCAATTTAGAATTTCTTCATGAACGCACGACTTCTTCTCCTTCAATGACTTATTCTTCTATTAAATTGATGATCTCCAACTCAAGCTCACACATTTCAAAGACACAAGAGATATTTGATGATGCAATCCCTTGTGGCTGTCTGTGGACATCGTAATCTAATTTGGATTTCAACAACGAAGACTAATCTTGTAAAAAAATTCAGGGTTTATCCCAAGTGAATGGTAAGTTTAACTGAAAGCTTTATCATGTCACTCTTATTAATTGGTTATTTTCCCTTAATTAAATTTTATCGGTAATATCTTGTCCCTCACCTACAAATGACAATTACCATAAGGTGACATTTGAACAAGTGTGTAGTTTGTTGGTGTTTTTTATACAAAGCCTTATTTGGATGTATTTTTTGAACAATCCGGATAATTTTTTTTTTGAATGGGTTTGAAACATAGTTACACTACTAAGTCATTTTCTTTTTTTTATCAGTAAAGAGTTGTTTTTTCTGATTGAGAGTTTACTAATGGGAGTTACTTATGAGAAACTAATTTTGGTGCAAATCGAGTTCCCGATTTTTGTAATTTGATATTCAAGATGTTGACTATCAGAATTTTGAGCACTCTCTTCTTGGAAAAAAGATTATATGAAAGGCTAATTACATAAATGTAACTCTACTTCTAGCATATATGCTATGATATAACCTTCAGTTTTGGATATAAAGTTGTATTGAATTATCAAAATAATATATTTCTGTTTGTATATATTTTTTTGATATTTGATACAAAAAAAAAAAAAAAAAAACTTAGTTTCCATTCAAAAATTGTTTAATGTAACTATCATCTATTTGGAGGTTGATATTAACAATTGTCCAGCAGAACATTTGCACCCTATGATGTTTTTATTAACCCTTTTGGTAGACATTCATGTTTATATTAATGTTTTTATTTGTTAAATCATTGGATTTTCAAATTACAATGCTTAAAAAAACAAAGAAAAAAATAAATTAAATTAAAAAAAAAAGTTAAGATTCAGGTGAAAAGTCATTATTAAAAATAATATTATAACCATAATTTATCTAAACTAAAACTACAACAGATACATGCTTGTTTTTACATGAGAGAATAGCCCTCTCATTCTGTCCTCCCACTATTGGATGGTTCCTTTATGGGCTAGACATGACCATCACCCTATTCCAGCCGTTTGCTTGGAAAATAAAAATAAAGGTCATAAATCATGAATAATTTACATAAAGCATGTTGGAAATTACATTCTTTGATGACATAAGGACGTCACATTTGAAAAAAAATGTAGTGATTATTGTACAATTTTGCATTATCATAAAAATAAAGTTTTCAAATAACATGAGGCGTCGTGTGACAATTGATAAGATTTGTAGGTTACAAAAATCATATTTTGGCGGAAAAACTTAAACACTAAGTTTGCATCCAACCTAAAGGATTATGTTTTCATTATTGAATGCAATAACCAATTGAACATCAAGAACCCTACAAGAACCTTAGTATTTTCGAAAATAACAAAAGGGTTTAAAAAACATACATTTTGATTATACTAGTAGATAATCAAACAAAATCATTCTTGTAGTCATTTGGAAGCTAGCACCACAAATCTTGTGCCTCTAATGGTTCATGCCCGACCCTAGCAACAAGGAGACTTAAAGAGAGAGGACAGGGGAGATGAAATTTTTTCAGCTATGCTTATGATAATAGATGGCCGAAAATATGAACCACATGGAGGGTTTATATAGGTGACTAAGGGAATTATGATAAAACAAGTTTCTTAGATAAGTCTTATCCTCTTTCCTTGCTTTCTAAGGATTCCTAGACTTCCTTCATGCCTAAAAAATCCTTATAAACCTCTAGAATTTTGTCCCCCTCGTAGGGAGGTTCTAGAATTGGTCGATGTTCAACTTTTGAACATTGTCACATTTAGTCCTTACACTTTTAATTATTCCAGTTAATCCCAAAGATATTTGTAATTAATTTCCGATTAATTTTATATTTACATAATGCTATTTCTAATTAATATATTATTCTCATAATATATTAATAAATTATTTATTTTGATTTCTAATTAATTTATTAATCATATAATAAATTAATAAATCAGTTTCTCTCTCTAAAAGTCATCATATTCAATTACTAGGTTTGAGGGCAACCTAAAAGGACTTTGCTAATAATTCAAGTATATATTAATTAATTTATTGGCTTAGACAGTCTCCCACTTGGAAAAGTCTATAACTGCAATTACTAGTATAACTTCTAAATCAGACAACAAAGAGTGCTTCCATAGCAATTGTCGAACTCTGAACTAAACATACATTTGGTCCTAAGATAAGTGACCCAATATTCCTTCATTCTACTAGATATCATACAGACATGAGACATGGATTAGAATCAATCTCATTGTCCAAGTTTTGTTTCCCGATTTCTCTCTTATCTCTAATGACATCATAATACTTCTAATTGTACATATCAATTTAGTCCTAGTTGGACCCAACATTATAAGTCAACACCAAATCACCGAGGACCCAAAAATATCGCTTTTCCCGTTAGAGCAAAATGAACGAATAAACTTTGACTTATATTCTTGTATCCTTTACTCCCCAAATTATACATGACACTGCATTTTATAACATAATGTTACTGATGCGTTTTCGCAACACCAATACACAACCGACTTGTAAAAATACAACTCATATATCTCTGTTTTAAAAATATAAGATATTATCGTCTTAGAACTACCTGTGATATAATCCATGAAGTAATTCTCAAAGTGTGGGTTTATCCAATACTTGAATCTCCATTTCTAAGTACCCATGAATGTTGTAGCAATACAATTGCTACGTCTAATGAAACATCCCAAAATTCTAGACCAAGAATTTCGTTTTAAACCACTTAATAAACTATAGTTATCAATCATTTCATCAAAATATAAGTCAAGCATTTCAAAACATTATCACAGTATCATATCAAAACATTAGGGTAATCATCCCAGGCTAAATCATCATGGTGTGTGCAATGCAGTCATCCCGAGCTCTTCCCTCTGTTACTAGAAGTACCTAAAACCAAAACTGAAAACCGTAAGCGTGAAGCTTAGTGAGTCTCCCCAAACTACCACATACCATACACATAACCACATACATTGGCCTAGACCGCTACATCGGGCCCTGCCCGGCATCAGACGAATCCGACATCAGGCCCCGCCTGGCATCGAGCCCCGCTCGGTATACAGATCTGTTTCTACCAGGCCCCGCCCGCTATACACTTACAAACATATATTCATAATACTAGTACATAACAGACAAAACACAACACTGTAACTGCTAGTCTCAAGGCCCCGCACTTGCTCTGCTAATAATGAGATATGGAACCCCGTCCACACTCAGCTAGTGATGAGATACGGGCCCCCGCCCACACTCACCTCCCTACCAGGCACATACAAGTATCACAAAGACAACAAGTATAACTAAACATGCATTCCTTCCTCGGGTAGCACCCGACATCGAGCCGTAGTTCGGGAACATACATATAAACCTTCCTCGGGTCTCGCCTGACATCGGAACGTAATTTGGAAGCATATAAACTACATCGGGCTAACCCCGACATCAGATCTAAATCCGGTATACACTAACATACATAAACGGGCCGGCATTGGTGCCTTAGACCCGTTCCTACAGAAGAAAACTCACCTCACAAGCTGATAGTAGAATCCTGCGAATAAACCTCTCGCTGCTAGCTGTCAGATCCCCGAACTGCTGATCTCTCAACTCCCCCGAGCTACGATTACCTAAAATAACAATTAGTCTAAACCAATAATTCTCCTTTGGGTAAAATAACCATTTTACCCCTAGTCCAACTTGGTCCATAGCCCAAAATTATAATATAAAAGGCCCAACACTAGGTAGGCTTCCCAAGCCGACTAGTGGCCCAATTTGCTAAATTGGTCCCAATCCCTCTAGTAGGCCTTACCCTAAGCCCAAACATATTCTTGGCCCAAATTATCTGACTTCTGATGGCCCACTAAGGCCCAAAGAACCAAAATCCAATGTATGGCCCAATCCGAGGCCGAAAACATGCTAAGCCCATATCTGATGAGTACGCGGGGGGTACTCCTTTGTACGCTAAGCATACAGGCTGCATGGTGTGTACGCTGTGCGTACCTGCATGTACGCCCATCATACTTCTCTGTTAAGTCATTTTTCCCATTAAGCACTTAATACTCTATTCCAACGGCTATGATCACAGATCCAAGTCCTCTTCAACGTCTTAATCTATAAAGTCACTGACTTGGTGACTTTACATGACCCTAATAAGCTCATACTCCAAAATGGCATTCTATTTTCATAAAAGTGATCGTAACTCATGCATGAACCCAATAAGACATCCAAGATGTCAAATTTCTGCCTTAGGGACTCATTTAGCACTGAATATGGCAACTCTAAGCCTAGGATTTAGATTTGAACCATAAAGATCTATTCTTGGGACCAAAATGGTCCAAAACATCACTACACTAGATCTAAGCATACTTGAGGAAAGAGGCTTTATACCTCTGTAACAACGTAAATTTTCAAAACAATTTTCCATTTTTAAATCGCACTCTTAATCATCAAAAACAATATCAAAACATAATGTATCCAATGTTATCATAAGAAAACAATTCCCAGAATCTCAACATAATCTCTATGAGTGTGTATGGATCATGTCGGCGCCTTCCCGCGATCCTCGCTAGTACCTGAAACACATAACACAACAACTGTAAGCATAAATGCTTAGTGAGTTCCCCAAAATACCACATACTACACATACGCCTTTCCAGGCCATGACTCTGTAGGATCTTCTGATCCATATGTCTCAGGGGACTTCCGTCCCGAATCCCGGTAGACCTTCCGGTCCTACTCGCATCGACCTTCCGGTCCATAACCCCTTGACCTTCCGGCCCATATCATCTTAACCTTCCGGTCCTTACCATTCATAACATACATATCATATACATATCACTTAACCGCATATAGCACATACATCTCATATATCATATAAGACCTCCCGGTCACACATATCACATAATCGCATATAGCATACAAGACCTTCCGGTCATACATAAGTACCCTTCCAGGTACAATATAGTGAGAAGACTCACCTCAATGAAGTCGGATAAACTCTCGTGCTCGACGTCCCGACTTAGCCTCCTCCTATTATTCAGATAACATCCTGATCAGAATTCTTTCATGATCTCATCTCTACAAACTGGGTAGAAGGCCATTCTACCCTACCCTGAACTCTCCTGAATTAGTCTTGACCAAAACCCTAAAGTCAACGAAAGTCAACGGTCAAACTTTGACCTGACTCGTCGAGTGCACATGGACGACTCGACGAGTCCATGCGGGTTCTCTGAATCCTTTCAGCCTCTCTTGACTCGTCTAGTCATCATTCCACTCGACGGGTTACACCTGTCACAAATCGCGGGGCAACCTCGACTCGACTTGTCGAGTCCACTTATGGACACGGCGAGTTGCCGCCATGCTCAAACTCAAATGACCTTCTGAGGTCAGATCTGTTCCTCTAATCCATAGATCTGACCTTACCAAGCTCAATAAACACGTAAAGGTTCGATCTTGATACTCATGCAATGTCC